CCTCTAACTCTAGCACTCTCTATTCTAATTCTATTCTTTAAAAAAAAAAAAAAAACACTTGTCCCTTTTAGACTTGCACTGTATTAATTTGCTGCTTGTTTTCTTTATAAAAAAAAACGAACACTAGCTTTCTAATCTTTTTGTATTCTATCTGTTTTCTTTTCATTTATTATACAATTAACAAAAGCAAGAAATACCTCTAACACTAGCTTGCTCTATTCTTTTTCTATTCTATGTTTTCTTTTTATTTATTATATTATTTAAAAATCCTTGTGTACTGCGTTAAGCTAACTGAGACTTGTTATAGCACTTGCATATCATTCGTCTTTTGTTGATTTTGATTGCTTCCATTGTCCTCATTTGTAAGTCGCTTTGGATAAAAGCATCTGCTAAATGACTAAATGTTAACCATTGTACGTCACTACTCTTCAACTTATACATTTAACAACACAATTCTTTCTTTCATTGCATTTATTGTACATTTTTAATGATAACAGTGAACTTCTACTAATTCTACTGGTTCAGCAAGCCAAGACCAAGTTACAAAAATGTTGACATTAAAAGCGAGAATTCCTATTGCGTCTATGTTTATTATTTACAATCGTTGTAAAATTGTTTTTCACTGCCACAGTGGTTCTGTCCACAGGATGAGGTTACATTGAGAATGGGTTTATTTCTCTGGCGCAACAGAGGAGACCTGGGTGACCTGAGATGAAGTAGAGGCCTCATCTTCCTCAATATTTTTGCCACAGACCATCTTCATCATACAGGAACGGAACTGGGTTTAAAAAAAAAGAGCAGAACATGTTACTTGAAGTGATAGTCATGCCATGTGAACATGGCATTTGGTACTGTAGCCCTGTGGGGACAAACTTCAACAATACTTCAAATCCCCACTTAGCACATAATGCCATACCTGTTTGTTCATTAAGACGTAGATGACAGGATTGTACACTGTAGAGGCTTTAGAAAGGCAGGATGGTATGGTTGCCATTCTCAGATCAAATGCTTCACCACGGTGGAAAACTATCCAGAGAGAAAAGCTAGCATATGGTGCCCAGCATACCGAGAAGCCAAACACCATCACCACCACCATCTTTGTCACCCCCCTCTCTGCCTTCTGGGTCGAAGCTGAATCTGCTTGAGCTTTGGCTGCCTGGTAGAATAAACAAGGGATTTTAGAGCACCTGGCAACGTGACCAGCACCACAATAACCCATATACAGTCTCCATCTAGTGGACGCGAGCAATGCGTATCCCAAAGCATTAAAGGGATAGTTCACCCAAAAATGAAAATTTGATGTTTATCTGCTTACCCCCAGGGCATCCAAGATGTAAGTGATTTTTCTTCAGTAGAACACAAACAGAGATTTTTTAACTCAAACTGTTGCAGTCTGTCAGTCTTATAATTGAAGTGGATGGGGCTTTTGAGAGTGTGAAACATACACAAACAAAACCAAATTAAACCCTGCGGCTCGTGACGATACATTGATGTATAAAGACACGAAACGATCGGTCTGTGCAAGAAACTGAACAGTATTTATATAGTTTTT